TTTCCATGCTCACAATTCTCCACCTATTTTTTCTGTCTGCAAATTGAATGGAGAATTTAAAAAGGCTGTATGTGCCCAGCTCTAAGTCCCAACACTTGGAGAATGCCAGATTGAGGAAAAGCCGATTTAACATCTGAATCACCAGCAATCAGTGGAGCACTGTATATGAGCCCAAAGTGACCATTCTCTAGTCCAGAGAGCTTGATATCTATCAAAGTGATGTTATACCCACAATACAAATATGGGGCTGAAGCTGAGAAAACTGTTGGTGACATTTTATATATACTTATCTGGAAGTATTTATCACTGACTTTGGGGGTGCTTACTTCTGTGCAGACATAGTAAGTTGACGTATGGGTAGACTTATAAAGGGTTGTTGAACAAGACATTTCTCATCTTATACCTCTCATTGGCTCCAAAGAATTTTTCTAAAAATTTTCATCTGCAAAATTTAATGTGAGAATATTATTCTCTAAACATGCTCTGACTATATATAAATATTGAATGAATATTTTATAATCAGAATCAATATATGGCATCCGAAGATTTTGCCGGCAGTTAATATTCAACAGGTCTGACATGAATCAGTATTTGGCAATATTAGACAACTGCTGATGTAACAAATAATATTCGACAGTATCCAACAGATAACCTGGTATATGAAAATTAGTTACAAATTATACCAACTCTAGCCATTTATTTTTACATCAACATTTAATGAACAAATTTCAGGAATTTTATTTCAGCTCTGTCATATGTTGAGTCTGCTGCTCCATCTGTGGTTTCAGTTTGATGACTAACATGAATGTGTGTCCCTGGTTGCTGTCTTGCCCATCACCATCACTTGTTAACAGTACCATCAAGTGATGACTCGTGCAAAATGAGTCAACATAGATCTCACATCACAGACAGAACTTTCACATCTCTTTAAACCTACTGCTTTCCATAACATGTTTCTTACTTGTGAATGACTGAGTGTGGGGTAGCCAAATAATACTGCTTGCAAGTGTGAGATGGGCCTTAGAATGAAAGGGAAGATTAGCGACCATCGAGTAGCTAAAGAATGGCAAATAATACAGGACGTGTTGGAGAAGGGCTTAGGGCTTATAGTTCTCTTCTTCCCAAATACACTCACACACTCTGTCCAAGAAGCCAGATGCTATGTGGGAACCTCATGAGATGGGTTTAGTTTTAAGAGAAAAGTGCAATTAGATAAAGAGTGCAAAGTCAACACGAATAGTGTGTGAGTGAGAAGTGAGTGCAAGCGAGCCAGCCCAGGTAAAGGAAATGATCTTTGTCCTTTCAGCAGTTTTCCACCCCCTCATAGCCTCGTCGCCAAGTCAACCAGTCCCAGCTGGGAAGAAGCAGATTATTTATCTCCAGAGGTCAACCTCTTTCAGGCTCCTAACTAATCAATGCACTCAATCCAGAGGTAGTCCTGCGGTATCCATCACACAAAGAGCTCATTCACAGATGAGGTTCTACAACAACCGTTCACAGAAGGGGCCTACTCATACCACGCAGGGCAACCCTTTCCAATGCTGCATTTTCTCTTCCTCACCTCTCTCCCTCCCATCTTTGCCCAGATGCCTTTTCCCCTGAGAAAACCACAAGTAGTCTAGAGCTGTACCTTTAGCTATGCCCAAAGATGCAGATATCCTCTGTTATCTACCCTCCATTCATCCATGAATCTCTTTATTGAGTACAGACATAATAGTGAAAAGTACTCACATGAAATGAATGGACTTAAGGTAGTTACGATGCACAAGTCCGTTCATTTTAAAAGGGACTATGCTAGGAATGGGTTCAACCTATAAATGACACCATAAAGAGGGATGTGTAAGAGCAGTTTATTTTTTATTCACATGGCAAGCAGCACAAAAGGCCTTAGTAATTTTTATAATGTATGTCAGGACAGTGATGCTGGAGAAATCCTTACTGTGTTCTGCAATTCCAGGGTACTGCATGGTATTTCATGGAAAACAGCTCTTCAACCGAAGAATATGCAATAGCATTGAAGCAATATGCAGACTGTGGATGATGGAGACTGTAATCCAGCATATCTGGAAGATATCGTTTTAGGTAGTCTGCTTCAGAATATTCTAATTTGTCTTTCTACTGATTTAGAGTTGAGTATCTGTCAGTTAATATTGATAGTTTGATGCAAAATCTCCATAAAGAGGTTTTCTTTTTTATCTATTTTTTATATGATGCCCCTATTTCAGGTGTTGCACCTCCCAACAGTTTTGATCGTACTGCATGTTGTGCAGATTTAGTTTGGAGCAATAGGAGGAGAGCGATCAGGAGAGAGGCAGCAGATGTCATGCTGGTATTGCATGGTGCGAACTAAAGGTGGGATGGAGAGTAGGGTTATTAGATGTGGGATGAAAAAAATCTGTATGATGACTAGATGGAAGCAATAAACCCTGATATATGCTATAATGTAGTGGTCACCTGGATTTCTGCAGCCCCCACTGACATTTTTAAAATATGTGTCATTGAAAATTATATTAATTATTTTACTGTTCTGTTATTACTGTTTATTTGATTATGTGCCATCATAAGTTGGTACTGACTCTTTAGCAACCACACAGATAGACCTGCTCCAGAATGATCTGTCCTCAGCCTAGCCTTTCAGGTCTTCCAGGCATGGCCACTGTAATTAAGTCCATCCACCTTGCTGCTGGCTGTCCTCCTCTCTTTCCTTCTACCTTTCCCTGCATTTTAGATTTGTCAAGCGAGCTAGGTATTCACAAAATATAACAATTTGAGCCTGGTCATTTGTGCCTTGAGTGAGAACCCTGGACTGATTTCTTTTATGAAGGGCTATCAGATTAGCGCTATAAAAATCTGGCTGACCACTTGGTGGCAACAATGAGTGATTTCTGATTGCCTTTACTGACATCTAGGTGTCATCCAGATTTTTACACTCTGTATCTTGAAGTATCTTCTAGAGCTATGCAACCATTATTGTGCCAATATAACAGTAATGATCATGGGCTTCATATTGCCTCAAGGGTGCTAATTGATGCATAATTAAATGTGGAATTTATGGCTGCTAAATTGAACAGCTTTAAGAGGACATTGGATAATTTCATGAAGGACAGTTCTTTCAAGAGCCAGAGTACCTGCAGCTGGCGTGGCATGCCTCCACATATAGTTTATTTTATTTGATGCCACCCAACTCCAAGCAACTCTGGGTGGCTCATGATACCCAGTTGTGGGAGAACAAAAGTGGGAGAGAGGTATGCGCCCATATTCTGATTGCAAGCACCCCAGCGGAATATGCTTGGCAAGGGCGGGAATCACAATGTTGGACTAAGATGGGTTTTAGCCTCGGACAGAATATATAGGTATATGCAGATGTATACACATATGCTTGTGTGTGTGCGTATCTATCTAGTGTACTCCATGATATGAGTTACTGTATATAAAATACAGAAGGTATATGTATAATAACTCACAGTTTGCCAGTGTTAACACAGTTCTATAGCTTAATAATAAACAAAAACATAATTTAATAAAGAAAATCGTGATTATATATTATATTATACACAATATTAATATATATTACTATTTATTAATTTAGTAATTATATTAATACTGATATAAATTACATTAATATATATACATGAACATATCTATTTTGAGCTATTTTACAATGTGACAGATTGCTACTTTTCAGAGGTATTTACCAGGTCTCTGTTGTATGCTAGGGAACATGTTAAAAAAAAAAAAATTAACTTGCTTTGGCAGAGTGCGATGACTCCCATTTTGTCTTGCTTTAATTCAGCATTATTTCTAAGCACGGCGTATGTGAAAGGTTTTTGGAAATGTTCCTGTTCTGTTTGCAGGCTGAACTTCCTTGCTTGCAGGAACTGTGAAAAGGTGATAAGCAGCTAGTGGCCTTTCTAATCTCTGGCTGATAGAATTCACGCAGGTCAACAGGTTTCCCAGGCTAGAGGTTTAAAATTCAACAATGTTGGACACTTGTTGATTGAGCTAGAAACAGTACCACCTGCCTTGCTCCACAATTTGACACCCCTCCCTGCCCTCTTCTCAGGTTTTTCTGTTGCTATCCAGAAATTGAGTTTTTGTTTTTTACACAAAGCAGTGGATTTCTTTTCTAGCCATGCACAGCAGCATTTATAGTAGCTATTAGCCTCTGTGAACTTTGTTCAGATGGACAGGAGTCCGGGCAATCTTACATCATAATACACTTCCGAGACTTTACAGTGGCAAGAAAAGGCTAGACTTGTTCAACAGAAATCATCGGGCTTCACAGAAGTCTGACTGCACAACTAACACTCCATGCAAACTTATTCGAAGTATATGATGATGATGATGGTTTAATCTACGTCGGTATAACAGAGGTGTCAGAATTAGAGATTAAGCCTGAAACCAAAATCCACTGACTATAGCTATCCAGACGCAAGTTGTCATTTTCTTAAATGGGGAACGGTAATTATTAAATGGTCTTAAGCAGGTTCGGGGGCAATGAACTCTGTGTATGCTCACAGGGTCTCTAGCTTTAACTCTCGGCGCCCGGGTTCCTGCGCTGACCTCTGCGGCTCCGCGGGCTCAGGTGAGGCTGGAGCAGAGCCACGTGGTGCTGGAGCCGCGCACACAGCGCCGTTCCGAAGGGAGGAGGCGGGAAGCTTCGCCGCTGGATCCCCGCCAGAGAAAGGAAAAAAATCTCTGGTTACGAGGAAAGCGAAAGAAACGCCAAAGTTCCAAGCCTCAAGAAGCGCTCCTTCTGATTGGGAAAGGGTCGCCCAATGGGAACCCGAGGCCGGTTCACGCGGACGGTCAGCGAGCCAATCGAAAAGCCCCCCTGGT